TATATCGTGAAATCAAAAGAAAATGGTTGAATCCGTCAATACAACAATAATAACAATATCTCCACACGTGACAGTAATTGACGTAATAGTATCAACTATGAACACGGCCACAACGTGCTGACCGTGTTTGAAAAATAAAAACAATAATTCCCAACACTATACTAATATATAAAAATCTACCTTTTTAAATTTTTTTACAAGAATATTTAGATTTAATTAAAAAACTAAAATAACTTTTCTATTCTATAGAATAGCCGAAAGCGCTGGAATTTGTAGAAAAATGCTTGTAAGAATGCAAGAAAATTAGAATAAAAATCTTAATCGGTCGTTTTTAATAAAACTTGTATAAAAGAAGGACTGCTGCCCAGATACACAACTGCCGGAATAGTATTGTTTTGGTAGGGTCTATTGGGCGAACAAGTATGATGTTGCCAGACCCAAAACTTGTCATGACCCCAAGTCATAACATCACTGACGAGGCGATCCTGAGCACTCGTTGGAGTGTTTTTCATGACTAATACACACACACGCACACACACGCACACACACACACACACATATATATATATATGAATCAGCCAATTCATATATATATATATATATATATATATATATATATATATATATATATATGAATCAACCATAGTGATGCATATATATATGTATGAAGGTATGTACGGAGACAGAATATGAACAGGCTGAGAAAGATAGGGATAGATCGACACAGATCGATATTAACAGTCTGCGATAAATAGATACAGAGATGATAAACAGCGCCATGTATGAACAGAGTAATAGATTGATCGATCGATCAGTCGATCAATAGATAGATAATAACAATGAGGCAGATAGATAGTAATAGAATGAGATAGATAGAAACAGAATGAGGTAGAAAGATAGATAGATAGATGGATAAATAACTGAATGAGATACATAAATAGATAACAGAATAAGATAGTAACAGAATGAAATAGAAACAGAATAAGATAGATAGATACTAACTGAACGAGATAGAAACAGAATGAGATAGATAGATAGATAGATAGATAGATAATAACTGAATGAGATAGTAACAGAATAAGATAGTAACAATGCGATAGAAACAGAATAAGATAGATAGATACTAACTGAATGAGATAGATAGAAACAGAATGAGGTAGATAGATAGGTAGATCGATAGATAGTAACTGAATAAGATAGTAACAGCATGAGATAGAAACAATAAGATAGATAGATACTAACTGAATGAGACAGAAACAGAATGAGGTAGATAGATAGATAGATAGATAGATAGATAGATAAATAACTGAATGAGATAGATAGAAGCAGAATGAGGTAGATAGATAGATAGATAGATAGATAGATAATAACTGAATGAGATAGATAGAAACAGAATGAGGTAGATAGATAGATAGCTAGATAGATAGATAATAACTGAATGAGATAGATAGAAACAGAATGAGATAGATAGATAGATAGATAGATAGATAACTGAATGAGATATATAGATAGATATGCGCAGACTGAGGTAGATATGATTGATTGTTCCACTTTTACGGCTTATCAGATCTTTGCAGTTTATTTAAATCTTTAAAATATTTTTCTGTTGTAAGTATTTTTTTATTTTGCAAATAACAATAACGGTATAGAGATGCAGACCTTGCTAATTAACCCATAGCTGGAGCAAAGAGGTGGAGTCACAACTTTTCACGTGGATATAACGAACCCAACGGGAATTGGAACTCGTCTTCCCGATTTACCATCCGCTTGTTCTTTAACCATTACATCATTCGCTTACAGCATCTGGTATTCCCAAATGGCCATCGAAATACTGACGTTGCTTAACTTGGGTGATCATACTGGAACCACTCTTTCGACGTGATGTGGCCGTAAGCCCTGAGATAGATAAACAGACAGATAGATAGATAGATAGATAGATAGATAGATAGATAGATAGATAGATAGATAGATAAACAAACGATTATGACAACACTGAGTTTATTTGAAGCATCACAGACAGAAAGAATGGCTTCCTAGGACATTCTTAACAAAAATGTGTTTCTTGAAAATGAAGAGGTTGCGAAGAAAATGATCCGTGCCTGGAGATCCCAGCTGCGGCCCGTTCTTTGCTCTCCTGTATTTTACTTTGTACAAGTTGATCTCCCTTCGCTTTTTCCTCTCATCTCAACCGGGCCTGACTCTCCATCTCAATTGCTCCTTGCTCTCCATTTTTCTCGTTATCTACTTTCTCTCTTTTGAATACAGTCAATCATTATGCTCCTTTCTTACTCACTTGACCCTAATTTTAAACTTCCTTCCTTCCTTCCTTCCTTCCTTCCTTCCTTCCTTTCAGTAATCTTAATTCTTTAATTCATCTTCTATTTTGTAACATTTATTACGTTCCAAATTTTGACGTCTTTTTTCTTTCTTTCTTTCTTTCTTTCTTTCTTTCTTTCTTTCTTTCTTTCTTTCTTTCTTTCTTTCTTGCTTGCTTGCTTTCCTTATTGCTTACTTTCCATTCTTTCTTCCCGTCTTGCTTTCCCCTACGCTTTACGTTCTTTCTTTCTTTCTTTCTTTCTTTCTTTCTTTCTTTCTTTCTTTCTTTCTTTCTTTCTTTCTTTCTTTCTTTTCTACTTTTAATTCTTTATTTCTCCCGTATTTCCTTCTTTCTTTTATTTGCTTTTCTAAACGATTTACGTTCTTTCTTTCTTTCTTTCTTTCTTTCTTTCTTTCTTTCTTTCTTTCTTTCTTTCTTTCTTTCTTTCTCAAATATTCTATTTATGAATTCTTTCTCTTTCTTTGTTAATTTCTGTCTTTCTTTCTTTTTTGTTTAAATATTCTATTTATTAATTCTTTCACTTTCTTTCTTTCTTTCTTTCTTTCTTTCTTTCTTTCTTTCTTTCTTTCTTTCTTTTCCACTTCTTTCTTTTTTTTTCGTATTTTCCTTTTTCAATTTCGTTTCTTCCCCTGAAGAATAACTTTTCCCACACGTTCTTTTTTCTTTTCATATTTTTGTTATTGTTCTTGTTTTGTTTCTCTCTCTTTCTTTCGTCCTTTCTTTCTTTCGTCCTTTCTTTCTTTCGTCCTTTCTTTCTTTCGTCCTTTTTCTTTCCTGTTTTTGTTTTCTCTTTCAAAATCTTTTCTTTCCTTCTTCTCATTACTTTTTCTTTCTCTCTCATTATTACTGCTTCCTTTTCCCTTCTTTCTTTCTTTCTTTCTTTCTTTTCATGTAGAATGGCTTATTCCACACTTATCCTTCTCTCTTTTCACATACTCATGTTTTCTTTCAAAAATTCTTTTCAGGCTTTACCATTTGTTTGTTTCATTTTTCTTTCTATAACTCTTTCTTTCTCTTTTTAACATGTGCTCCACAAATGGTCGATAATTAGTCAGACCAGAAAATCATACCCCACTCCCAGGTTCAGCCCATCCTAACACCCACCACCATTAACTACCCATCTTTTTCACACACATGCCACACATACTACATATATTGTCCCAGTCCGCCACCGATCTTTCTTTCTTTCTTTCTTTCTTTCTTTCTTTCTTCGCACATGTGGTGTTTTTCAGGGCGAACCCCCTTCTCTTGTACGTCGTCCGCCTGGCAAATGGTAAAACTTCAACTGGTATTGGGTTCTAAAAGTAAGAGCTTTTTTAGCTACGGAGGCCAATTTATTTATGAGGTCGAAATAACGAAGGACGATTGAGGTGCGAAAAGCAACAACTAATTTAGTGGGTAAAAAAAAAAAAGAAAAATTAAAAAGAAAAAGGGGAGAGAAAGCGAGAGACAGCGGGAGTGAGAGAGGAGAAAAACAGAATCAATACAGAAAGAAAGAAAGAAAGAAAGAAAGAAAGAAAGAAAGAAAGAAAGAAAGAAAAAAGCGAAACAAGAAAAAGAAGAAAGAGGCAAAAACGAACAATCGAAGAAAGAAAGAAAGAAAGAAAATAGAAAGGAAGAGAAAAAACGAAACAGGAATAAAAAGAAAGAGGCAAAAAAAGGAACAATCGAAAAAAGAAAGAAAGAAAGAAAGAAAGAAAGAAAGAAAGAAAAGAAAAGAAAAGAAAGAAAAAGAAAAAAGAAAGTAAGAAAATGAAAGAAATAATAAAAGAAAGATGAAGGTTATGGGTAAGAAAGAAAGAAGGTAAGAATTATATAAACATGGATAAATCAGAAAAAAAGAATGAAAGAAAATACGATGCGTTCGGCGGGTGAGGGGCGTATTCAATAAATAATCGAAAATTGCTTTTACCATTGTAAATTATTTGTTATATCATATCCAAGTATTTTACAAAAACTTAGATCCGATTACACAATATTTCAAGTTCAGTTGAGGTTTATAGTTCGTAACCATACAATGAGATGAGGTAACAGAAACCGTAGATTTATTTGCAGAATATCATTACATTATTGTTACATAATTAGAGTGAAACCATTAAGGTTTTTTGTCAAAGGTATTTTATATTTTTATATTAATTTAAAATATTCCTTTTTACATGCTTTATGTCTGAAATAGGATAAGATCATTCTAAATTTCAGAATTTTGCTATTGCCGACCAAAATGACTGGAAGAAAGCGATCTAAAAACAACAATGGAAAAGAGAGGTAACAAAGCGTAGACTAAATAGCTCCAGTTTGTTTAATTTAGGAAACTTAGCATTGCAGCCAAAGTATTCTAAAATGTTGCCAATAACAAAGAAGAAAAGGAAAAATACCTAACAAATTGAATTTGGCATCAAAATTTTTATATTATTTTTATTTATTTGTTATGCAACTAAATACATAATTGTCAACAATGTTTCCATAAAACTTTATATTTTCTGTAATAAATTCTTAATAAATATTATTATTGTTATTATTTTATTTAAGTGTAAAGTAGTCTTACATTTTCAATTCCTTACGGCTGACAATAAAAGAAATGTTGATCAAACTGCCTAAAACCTTATTGCGTATTGCTGCAAAATTATCAAATATTGAATACAGCCGTCCTCCACGCAACAGGTTATATAACCATTGGAAAGAAAGAAAGAAAGAAAGAAAGAAAGAAAGAAAGAAGGAAGAAAGAAAGAAAGAAAAAAAGGGAATGAAAAAGGAAGCAATAATAAAGAAAAGCAAATGAAAAATAGTGAAGAAACGATTTTGAAAGAATAGAAAACAAAGATATGAAAAATGAAAGAAAATAAACCATAAAAGTTATTGAAATAAAGCGAAGGACAAAGAAAGAAAGAAAAAAGAAAGAAAGAAAGAAAGAAAGAAAAAGAAATAAAGAAAGAAAGAAAGAAAAAAGAAAGAAAGAAAGAAAGAAAGAAAAAGAAAGAAAGAACGGTGGAGATATCGGTTGAAAAGAGAAGAAAGTGAAAATATCAAAGTCGCTAAGAAAGAAAAGAAAAGAAAAGAAAAAGGAATAAATGAAAGAAAAATAAAGAAAAAAAGGAAAAAAAGGAAAGGTAAATGTGTGCGTTTAAATTAAGGAACAAGTCGGAGGATAAAAATGAAAAAGAAAAAAACAAACAAAAAGCAGCGAATTTTCAAGCGTAGCCTAGATGTGGCACAACTACGAAATTATAGGGCACCAAGTGAGGATCGAACTCACTACTCAATAGTAATTATTCTAGCTAGACAAGCTTGTTAACCATTACACCGCCTCGAAGTTTCCCTTTAAGGATGTGAAGAGAATGGTTGAAGAAAAAAGGATAGGAAAGAGCCTGAGTCAATAAATAAGACGGAAATGGTATTGAGATGGAAGGGAGTGGGTAGAAGTGGAATGTGAGAGAAAGAGATAGAGAGAAAGAGAGAGAGAGAGAAAGGGGAGAGAAAAAGAGAGAGGGTGAGAAAGAGAAAAAAGAGAGAGGGAGGATAGAGAGAGGGGGGAGAGAAAGAGAGAGAGGGGAGAGATAGAAAAAGAGAGAGAAAGAGAGAGAGAGGAGAGATAGAAAAAGAGAGAGAAAGAGAGAGAGGGGAGATGGAGAGGAAATGCGAGAAAGAGGGAGAGAGAGAGAAAGAGAGAGGAGGGAAAGAGAGAGAGAGAGAGAGAGAGAGAGAGGAGTGATAGAAAGAGAGAGAGCGGGAGGAGAGAGAGAAAGCGAGAGAGAATGATTTCATGCATGTTCCCTTCGGGGTGGTGACCATCTCATGGATATAATATTCAAATCTTGGGATAATATGTTGAATTCTTGTATATGAAGATGAAGATGAAGAAGAGACTCGAAGCAACAGAAGTGTGGTTCTACAGAAGGATGCTGAGAATACCATGGACCGAACATGTGAGTAACGATTAGGTTTTGGAGAGAATAGAGACAAAAAAGAAACTTAACATCAGGAAGGGGTGGTTGAAAATTCCGGAACACGTAATAAGGAAGGGGGGCTTGGAAAATCTGATACTCACAGGACGGATAGAAAGATAGAGGGATAGAAGATACAACACGTGAAATACTTAATGGGATTGAGTAAGTGGACAGAGAAACAGGGCCTGGAAAAAATAATAAAAAAAGACAAAATTTATTAGGACAGAAGGATGTGGAGGGCCATGATCGCCTACGTCCTGAAGGGACATGGCATATCTTGGATTATAAAAATGACATGGATTAATGTACACTAGGAAAATAACTCATAATAAACTATTTTAACATTTGTGAGCAACTAGCGTAAAAGCCGCCATAATGGCTTTTAATTGGGCCTTCATCACAACATGCAAGGAGGAATAGATGCAATAGGTAACAATGAACTACAGAAAAACTCAAAATTGATTGTTGCATTTAAGTATCGCATTAATATTTATGCTTACCTTTTAAAAGTTCGATAATTTTTCTGCTGCCACTTAATTTAAAGACAATTTGATGTACGTAGCTCCTTATTTTCCATAGAAACAATGATTATTATCATGGTTGAATTACGTTAGACTTCGCAATTAATTGCGATTATTCCAAAATTTATTTCCAAGTTATAAAAATTGTTATCGTGCAAAAGAAAAAAAAAAAATTCGTCGCAAAAAATTACCTAAAAAATCGCCGACAAGATTTGCACAAATGAAAACTTAGGAATCTAAAAATTCAGGATTGCGGGTCCGCCTCCAGTCAGGAATTTTTTAAAATTTCGGCCTGATTCCAAAATGGTGTAATATGTTTGGCTACAGCTTTTAGGAGTAAAGTTGAAAACACGAACAATTTTACATTGTAATTTGAGAACTGTAAATTTTTTTCATTTGAACATGAGCTATTGAAAGTTAGAGAGTTGTGTCCCTTTAATTGTTTTTTATCAGTAAAAGCGAAGACGTTCGAATCCGAAAACAATCGTAATAATGAAAACGTGAGAATCCAAAATTTCAGGATTGCAGGTCCGGATATGACCTGGGATCGTTTTAATTTCTTTTTAATTTACCAGCATTAGTTGGAGCGATAAACTCTTTTTGAACCAAAGCTGTATCCGCACGCGTCGCTCTACTTAAAGACTTCATCTTCCTAAGTTATTTTCCAAAGGAGAACCTGCTATGTTATTGGTCCTGACCCGGCATTCCCTTTTCCATCGCCGTAACGTATCTTCCCTGTGCTTTTTCTTTAAAAATACTTTCATGTCAATTGTTCTGACGAACTTTCCTCTATGCAACCTAGACTTTATGCATTTAAACGCAGTATGAAATTGGCGGCAAGCTCTCAAATCATTTTACAGTTGAAATAGCTAGATGTAACCGTAGGTTCTATGCTAATAGTTTCTTCCCGCACTTCTCGCTTGTGGAACTCTCTTCCGGTTTCTTGCTTCCCAGTCAAAATTTTGAATGCAATGTCAATTGTTATCTTCTTAATTCTTGTTCTTTTATTCTCCTCTCTTCTTAATAGTATTTTTTCTCATATTCTCATACACTCTACCCCCCCCCTTGCGTCTTAGTGGCTTTATTACCTTGCTTGTGGATGAAATGATTGAAATGTTTGGTCTCAATCTGACAATGTTATTGGGCTGACCTGTATCATTTGTCTGAAATGATGAGTGCCATTAACTTTCGAAATAAATCAAAAATTTCCATTACGAATTTGTTCTCACGGAACATTAGCTACTAAAGTCTTTTATGCGGGGAAAATCGATAGGGATCGTTCCAGAAAATAAGCATAAATGAAAAGAAAAAAAAATGTGTAATTAAAATCCAAAGCAAGAAATGTTTATAACATTTTAAAAAAAAAATCTATAAAAACACAGATGAAAAAAAAAATGATATAATGTGGAATCTTTAAAATGTAATATCAGACTCAGCGCCCCCCATTTTAACATCTGATTTTTGTTTTAATCATTTAACCCGAAACAAGACGGCAATGCCATTAGAACGCAAATGGGTTACCAGGTGTGAAAGTGAAAGACAATAAGAAGTCTAAGAATGGGGAGGATTGAAGAGAGGACAAGAGATAAACGGGGTTCAAGAAGACGGGAGATGGCGATTGACGTTACTACAGGGAAGCAAGGAAGCGGAAGGGAGTGTCACAGGCGGGAAGTGCGATGAAAGAAAAATGTTGGAGTAGAAATGCCGGTTGTATTTAACTATTTCAATAGTAAAGCGATGAGACCTAATTACCAATCTAGTAGCACGCTTGAATTCCCGTTGAGGGGGGAACCATGGAAAAAAGCACATCAAAGCAGTTGCCATGAAAATATTTGTAGAAAAGACAGAGGGAAGCCACGTCACAGCGGTGAGAAAGTGGCTGAAGTCCAGGTCTGATCCTTCTTTGGTCAAGAATCTCAAGATGTCCAGTAGGGCAGGTCGATTTTGGAACTGTGATATTGCACTCAATTTGACATGCGCAGTCATGACACAAAATGCTTTCTTTTTTTTACAAAATCATGACTGTTGTTTGATGAAACCAGTTTGAAGATTAAGTTTAGGTTCAAAATCTTTGCTTTGAAATTGCATCCGGTGATCAGTGAAAACCTTATAGCACACCCTTATAAAATTTAAAATTTTCTGAAGCTTTACAAATTGTATATGGACAAGATGCATGGCATAAGCACATTATCACTAAATCATTGCGCCATCAAATAAGAGCTTCATTTACTCCACAGGGAAATTATACTGAACAATTTTTCTTTTTTCTTTTTAAATCAGTATCACCCCAAGCAAGGCAGTACAACCATTAGCATGCAAAAAGTTACAACATGTAGACTAATTAGAAACAGAAACATTACTAATGAGAAAAAAGAGAAAAGTGCAGTCAGGTGGACAGTAGATAGCGATTGACATTGCATTTAAATTTTGGCAGAGTAAAACTGATTGGAAAGAGTTCCACAGACGAGAGGTGCGAGATAAGAAACTGTCGGCATAGAAGTTACGGTGACATCTAGCTAGCTCAACTGTAAACTCCTAAAATACGGTACGAATAATTTGGGATATTGATTGATACTCTAATAAATCCCGTTTAAAATCTAAGAGAAATAATATTTAACTAAAATTGCTTAAAAATAAATTAATCAAGATATTTACATGTTAAATACTAGTCAAAAAAGAAAACATAATAATGTGTAAATTTTAGTTAAAATGGGTGACTGCCCAAAAATTATTAACGGAAGAAATTTGTTTAAAATCTAAGAGACGATAAAACAAAATATTTTTTTCCAAATTGTTACTGTTTTTATGAGGAAATGAGTTAAGCCTTGTAGCACAACCTTATAAAATTTATGATTTTTTGAAGATTTACAAATTGTATATGGACAAGATGTATAGCACAAGCACATTATAACTAAATCATTGCGCCATCAAATAAAACCTTCATTTACTTCAAAGGGAAATTATACTGAACAATTTAGCTATATTATAATGTAATGTTATCCAGTGCAGTAGATTTAGTGTGATTTTCAATAAACAATGCAAAATTAAAACATTTTGTCTTATAATTTGTGGTATTATATACACTTTTATCTATTTTTTTCTTTTTATTAATTACGATCTAACAAATTCATCGAGTAGCTTTTTTGTAATCTTTTACAAATTTTTTAAACAATTTTTCAGTCAGTTATTTATTTGCCATGCGTGATACACGCTTAGCCGATCACGTATCTTTCGATACATGACTGACGAGGCAGATTTTTTTTCCGCGCAATAGGTTGCTATTTCCTTCTGTGGTAGACCAGTTGCCATCTATAGAACCCGATCTGTCCGGGGGGGGGCGCAGAAGATGAGGATTCATACCTTTCCCAAGGATATTATCACGTAAGTGAATGTAATGAATTCGACTGCAATTTGAAATCGGCTCTCCGATTCCTCAATCCGAGATGATATCCATTACTCCTTCTTCACGCTGTAGGTTGCCATTTTTTTCTGCGGTAGACCAGTTGCCATGCAAGGCTATAGAACCCGATCTTTTCTTGCTATTTACCCATAGTTTGCGCGGGCAGGGGAGAAGAAGAAGATTCATTCCTTTCCCAAGAGTATTAGCACGTAAGTGAATGTAATGGATTCGACTGGGATTCGAACTCGGCCTTCCGATTCCTCAATCCGATTCGCTATCTATTATTCCACCATACTTTTCCAATACTACAACAACAACAACAACAACAACAATAATAATAATTACATATTTTTCTTGTGGTGATTCATAGAATTCTGGTTTGAATATATAATGTATTCAATGTATCTAATACAAAAGATATCAACTTGGATATTAAATTTGGATTAATTCTTGAAAAATGCTAAAGTCAGATTGTAGCAAAAAAAAAAAAAAAAAAAACCTACAGAAATTAGGTATTTGTGTACACTTTTTCAGATTATATTTAAAAGTAAATGCTCAGAAATTAGTAAAAGCTATGTATCTATTTATTGGTAGCAGTACTTATCACATCAAACCCCAGTTTTTAGACCGAGTGCAATGTGGATTTACTAAAAGAAGTGAAAAATCAACCTGTCCTAATGTACATCAGGAGCGCCTAACCAGATGTGGCAATAAGTAGATTTATAAATATGCAAGATGGAGTTTTGAGGAGAAAACATTTTTAGCACAGTGAACCAACTTTCCTTGGAATAGACGAAGCAGCTGATTTGATATAGTCGCTCCATTTCATGTCAGTAGAAAGCGTGAAGCCATGAAGGCGTAGTGTGTTTCTTTTTTGAAGTTTAGCGTCACGCATAC